GAGGTCTGGTGATTGAGCGCTTTTAGGAGTGAGACATACTTCTCGGGTACTCCGTATCACCGCAAATGGTTTCACAGTGCGGGGCGATCGATATAATCGAAAGCCGCTCTGATGTCTAAAAACACAACAATGGTTTGCCGTCTGTGGTGGTGTTCTAGTAGCTGACGGAGGATGAAGATTTGATCTATGCAGCCACGGCGTGCACGAAACCCGGCCTGCTCCTCGCGAATTTGCTTCTCACAGAATGGGCATAATCTGCGTAATAAAACATGCCAGCAGCTTCGGCGCTATTGGAATCAGAGTTATACCCCTATGGTTGGAACAGGCGTTGCGACAGCCCTTCTTGTAGATGGGTATAACAATCGATTCTCTCGATATGTGGGGTACATTTTCGGGTTTCCAGATGTTCAAGAACAGTCTCACAAGTTCTCTTACGAGAGCTTCACCATCTTGAAAGAGGGCAGGTGGCAGGTCGTCTGAGTGAGGTTAGATTTCATGCAACAGATGAACAGAGAAGTACATTGGAACGTGCGTATTGCTCGTTAGATTCGGAAATAATTTTTTAGGGAATACGGAAATGTCTGAGTTTGCTCATCTGGAAAGGTGAACGCATGAGCTTTTCAAAATAAGCCTAAATGCGTGAGGACCACTTAAGATTGTAATCTGTCGTCACCTCTGAAGGAGTTGAAGGAGTTCACTTAAGATACAGGCTAACCAATCGCTGTCGGTAATATCCAAGTGCGAAAAGCTCCAAAGACATCTGACTCGATTTCCCATAATTCCCAACTGGGATATGTCAAATATTGGAGACTGTATGGTACTCTGAAACGTCAGAATCAACAGGGAATAGTTTTATGTCTGCATACTTCACAATTTGTGTAGAATAGTTAATAAAGAAACCGCCTGCTAGCAGATAGAGAGAGAGAGGTATAATAAGAAAGCATCTTTGAACACCCTAGAATTGTTGGTGAATAATTTGTAAGATGCTGCACTAAGCTTATCAAGCTATTCATGTTTGGTAATATAATTTGATACATAGGTACTGAACAGCTAAAATAATGAGCCGTAAAATAGTCCCATAGACTGTAGAAAACGGTGTTCGCGAAAAAATTTCTTTTCAATATATCACATCAGGCTTTTACATACGTATATAAGGTGATCATAGTATAGATATCTGATTGACGGAATAAAGCTGATACTAATGATAACAGAGGCGAACAAACAGAGCAAACAAATATGACAATCGAGCCTTGTAGGCTCATTGGCAAATCAGCCCGTAACCTGCATGGAAGTCCTGACTTGTTGGGAGGCTGAGATGCAGTAGAAACTATATGTCAGGTCGAACAAGTGATGTGATCGAAAAGGGACACTGGAGCTTTTGGAGGTAATAGGTGGAATAAGTATCTTCCATCTTCCATGTTGGGGTCCAAAAGACTCTGCAACTAATTGGTTGGAGACTCTGAAGCATTTGGCAGCGAACCGACAGCAGTAGCGTTCCTTTTGTCATTTCTTTTCAAGTCAGAATGCTTGAAACTTTGTGCATGCACAACTAGGTTGTGCACTCGGTGTGTTGATCATAGAGGTTCACTTTTTTCGACCTCCAAATAGGCTATATCCCTCTCCATCATTTACCTTATCACTTAGGGTACGTTTTGAATGTGACAGCGTTCATCTCAGTTCGCTTCACTGAATCTCGCCGGGCAATGATGATGATGATGATCAGTCTGTTTAAAGAAAGATTTTTTCAACACGGAGAAAATACACTTAGTGTGTTTAAGATAATGTTTGACTGATTTCTTCACTGTCTCCGACTTCCGCTGTCAATGAAATATGATTAATGGCCAGGTAAGGCAACGGGTATTCACCACATACAACCATCCTCCAACCGATGTGATTACAAAACTGTTCTTTCTCAGGCTTGTACACATTTTACGCATACTTGCCCACTAACCGTCTCATCGATCGATTTTTACGTTTTCTGCCTATGGTTGGTGGTCAACCCATCAACTGCACAGGGAAGCCCACCCCCTCATGGTTCTTAATTAACCACCTTCAGTGACGGAGGATTTTTTCTATTTTTCCAATTTTCGCACCCGCCTGAGTTCTTTATGAGAAGAAAATTTTTTGATGATTGGCTCGAGGGCATTGTATTGCTAGGTTTCCCAGGCTAAAGCAGGTTAATTTTCTTAAGGAGTTCGGCTAACCAAAGCCTGATCCGCAAGACAGCCGGTTTGGTATAAAAACCGCAATCCGTTAAGGGTTGGCGTCCAGTTAATCAAATTAGACACTTCGGATACGCTCAAACGTCCAAGGTGCCCTTGATACCCAATAAAGCCGGTGATCACTATCACGACCTGGAAGGTATGTGCTCGTACGCGTCTTCTTTGTTGTTTTGAATCCGCTTTTTAGCTAACTCCCCTAGGTGAACTACCATGGGTTCATCAACCCGGTTATAGTTCCGGGTATTGGCATTCCGTCCTCTCACTTTAATGAGGAAACACCATGTGAAGACAGTGAATCAGGCTTCCCCAGCAGAGTCTTTCTGAGGTGCTTGGCTTTATACTAGCGTATGTGCATTTCGCTTGGTTGCATGTATGCATTTCGCGAGGTGTAAGGGAAGGGTGGCCAGCCGCAACTCATACACCCGTACCCGAGCATATTGAGGCTTTCGGAGGCAGTGACTGAGGAGATGAAAAGCAGGTATGTGAAAAAATCACCTGGTAGAAACCCTAAAGACATTGCTTTTAAAATTCCCTAGCGATAGTTTGGTCACAGTCAACAGTGGCTGAAGTCCTGATGATCACGATCAACCTTAGCTATAAGATTAAAAGAAGGAATACGAGAATAAACAGTATAAAGTGGTATCACCAGCAATGCGCTTCCGGAGGCCTCAGTAAGGTTGGGGGTCGGTGTCTTGGGTTGTTGCTGGCCACCCCTCCCTTGCACCTCGCGAAATGCTCCTTTACGATCAAGCGTCCCAAATGACCTCTGCTGAGGAAGCTCTACTCAATATCTTCCCATAACGGAGGTGTTTTCCCACCAAAGTAAAAAAACGGAAAGTCAATGCCCGGGACCATAACCGGGTTGATGAACTCTCGGCAGTTCATCTAGGGGAGTTAGCCGAAAATCCTGATTCCCAACCAACCAAGAAGCATATAAAGCACACAAACCTGTCTGTGGTAGCGGTCACGAGCTCGATTGGGCATCGAAGAGTGTTGGGCACCTTGGACGTTTCCTGTCGTCCAAAGGGCGTATGATCCGATGAACTGGACACCAGCCCCTCAATAGATAGTGGTTTTTCCACAGCACCCTGCTGCTTTGAGGGTCAGGCTTTGGCTATCCAAAGGCTCCGGTTGTGGATTCTTCCAGAAAATTCACCTGCTTTAGCCTGGGCAACCTGTCACTATTCCGCCCTCATGCAGCTCATGGAACTTTTTCTTTTTATACAGGTGATTGTACTATGATTTGTTTGGTACACAGTTCGCCACCCAGACGTGTGGGAAATGTAAATATAATCGGCAGTGCACTCAGGAAGTTGATAATGAAATTTAAAAAGAAGCAGGTCGAAAACGAAATCTGGGGGGAAACTGGGATAAACGAGAGTCGCAGACTGATTTTACAACGGTGCTGAGAATGTGCGTATCATCCAGGATCAGCAGAAACGACATGGTTTTAAAGGACTTCAACTGATCGATTTCGAGTTACATCGTTCCGTCATAACTTCAATACCCACGAGTTGAAGCGCTATTGACTACTTACTCCTTGTAAGTATGACCCAACGTTCAGCTGCAGTAGTTGACTATTTATTCTTGGCACTTCTGGAAATTCGCTCTCCTCGTCAGGATTGGCATCAGGGTCGCATAACCGTCTTGTGAAATCAGTTGCGATGCATTTTTTGCTATTTTCTCTTATATGAGACAACTTTTCCTCATGCGGTTTTCGAATCCGTTTATCTTTTCAGAGTTTGGCGAGACACTCCGGTATGGATTATGCCATCCTGACGGGTGGAGATATTGCCCCAATGGGGAACGAAGGTGTAACCGCTGTTCACAAAGTTTTTGATTGGGCTGCCACTAGTAAAAAGGGGTGAGTTCTGCTTTCACCGATTCATGTTTCGTTAGAAAATTCCGAAAATGTTCACTCCTGTAATTTAAAACGCAGCTACTATCCAATATATTTTTAAGACAAGAGAGGACTCTGGTCGATCAACCGCAGCCATTGGATAATTACAGCGTGCAGTAGCCGAGTGGCAGGGATGATCTACTTTTTTTTTATCACGCAGTGATTTACAGCGAAAGGGGTAAACCATATAGTCATGGACATACTTTAAGGGTAGTATTCATTCACTCTGTCGATCCTGTTAGAAACAGGAGAAAAAAACAAGCGAGAAAATTTTTATTTGGTTGAAAATACGGAAGAGGAAGGATGTTCCACACTTTCATAGTCCTGAAAGAAAAGACTGAATGGCGGAATTCCGACTTCTGAGAACAACAACCAAGTGAGAATGGTTGATCGCCAGCGATAGATATGGATGCAGGGAGGACAGGAAGAGGGACTGCCCAATCAAATCCTGAAGAACAGAACCTAGTTGGTTATGGTAGAAAAGAGATAAAGTAACTGTCCGGCGATGGGAAATCGAATGTTGGTTTGAGGTTGAATACCGATCGCTGATCAGCCGGGCTACCTTACGTTGAGCCCTGTCAAGAAGGGAAAGAGCAAGATTCGAAACTTCATTCCGAACGTTGACTGCATTATTTGAGCGTTGAACTGATTTGAGCTTTATATATTTAACACCGGCTTCAGACCAAGCATGATGCCAACGCCACAACAATATTACCAATACCAATAACGGGAGGGGGTTAGTATACAGAGTATAGGGAAAAAGACGTAACTGTCAGAATGGAAGGTTATGAATAAACGAAGTAACAATTTTTTGTGTGTGAGCTTTGCGTGAAATGAGGTGAATAGCCTTCTTGAATCGTTAGGCACGCATTTGGACACCGACTATGTACAGCACGAGGCCAGTGTAGATACTATTAAGGACCAACATAAAAGGAGTTATTGATCAACCCTGGATAGAGAGAATCTGCCAAGCAAGCGGGTCAAAATTTAACCGAGGGAACAAAGGACGAATTATAAGGATTGGAAAGCTTAGAAACAAGCACGGTTGGTGAAACCCCCTACTGGAATGAGTCCACGATATGCAGCAAGTGATACATTACTGACATTGATCCTGATTCATAGTCGGATAATTGCACTACCGCGTTTACCTGATAATTTGTTTGATCTCTATTACTAAGAAAGCCTTTGTAAGGTCGGGGGTGGGTGTCTTGGGTTATGGCTATTCACCCTTTCCTTGCACCGCGAATTTCCCATGTGCGACTCAGCGTCTCGGATAGCCCATACTACCTTCAAGTGGCGGTGTCCTCAACCAAAGTGAGAACAAAAAGCCAACATTCGGTACTATAACCATGTCGGCAAATCACTGACAGTTCACTTGGGAGAGTTGCCCTAAACCCTGATACTAGAGCGTCCAACGACGGGCGTATGAACCACCCGCACCTGGCTGCGGTTTGAGTGGGTACCTTGGACGTTTGGTCCCATTCAAAAAGCTTTTGTTCCGGTATACTGGACACCGAACTCCGATTTACTAAGGATTTCGAACACTATACCGTAAGGTTTTGGTTAATTGACGGGAGAGCGGAGCTGTATGCTACTGAGTGCGTCGCGGGTAGGGGAACGGCCGTCATCTCACAGCTAACCGTGAATAAGATGTGCCTCGACCCTTCGAATAAGCGGTCGCGGACGATCGGCGCCAGCGCTTGAGGATGTGGTGGGTTTACCCCTGGCAAGGGTTCTCCGCACAAAACACCACATATATCTGTGGACAGCGCTGTGACGTTGCGAGTGTGGTCCGCTACTAAATGTGGTCATTGCTCCTTGTCGAGATCCATTGCTCGACAAGGTTTTCCAGAAGAGGCGAATGAACCAACTACTGGCCACCGGCTCATCTGGAATATCGTCGCTGCCTTGCAGTCCGCGCTTGGTTGCGAAAAACGCTAGAGTGCACCCTCGAACAAGGCCTACTCTGAACTGGGCGACCGAGTAGTACAGAAGCCCGCAACGCCAGCAACGATGAACTCTTCGACTTCTACATGCATCCAGTCTGCTATTTCTGCAACTAGAGAGAAACACTACACCGTACACACGCTTATGTCCTCCTAACCCTCCCCCATTCCACATCCACCTCCGTAATCCACCCATTTTCTCGGGATCTTCAGACGATTGTGCAAACACTAGTGCCTCAGATGGAAACTCTGCCGCTATTCCCTCATGTCCTCGACTACCGTACAAGTCTCACCGATTCCTCCACCAGCTGAAGCCCTTCTTCGCCCTCGATGCCCATTCAAACTAGCCACGTTTAGTGTGTGCACTCTGATGCGTATAGGACAACAGGCCGGTTTAGCTCGTACGCTCGAGAGCCTAGCCATCGATGTGTGCTGTACTCAAGAGACTCGCATTCAAGACTCCAGCTCCATTATCCGATTGACGTCCCCATCAAACCCATATGTGAAGTTTCACTTACGCCTCTCTAGGGACCCTGGGGCTGCGGCTTCCGGTCTTGCTGGCGTTGGTGTGGCTCTCAGTGAGAGAGCTGAAGCCGCGCTCCTGGACTGGTTCCCAGTCGACAGTAGGTTCTGCGCAGTGAGACTTAGACCTGTTTGTTGAGGAATGGAGTACCAGAGAAGTATGTGTCGATCCTCAAAGAGTTGTATCGCCATACCTCAGATCGGGTTAGGGCTTATGGCCAGCTTTCACCACCCTTCGCCGTCTCCAGTGGAGTTGACAAGGCTACCCTATATCCCCTTTCTTTTTCAAGTTCGCCATAGAGGGTGCTCTGCAGGACGGTTTGTCCGGTCTAGCAGACGGGAGAGTCGAACTCCTTCCAGGGATCAGAGTTCTTGACTTAGAATATGCCGATGACATCGCCTTGTTGGGTGACAATGCATAGGCAGTCCAACAAGCTTTACACCACTTGGCCATCGAGGTATCCAGGTATGGCATGTGCTCTGCACCTTCCAAGTGCAAAGTGCTGGTTCAAGACTGGTAGGAGCCTGTGCCTGCGTTCACCCTCTGTGATGATCAGCTGGGAGTTGAGAGTTTTAAGTACCTCCGTCGCTTGATAGCAGACGATGGTGGTGTTGGGGACGAGATCACACCACGAATAGCGAAGGCTAGAGTAGCTTTCGCCAACCTACGACACCTGTGGCGCCGCCAGTACATCCGGCTGTCCCTTGAGCGAACGTTGTACATTGCCGTAGTTCGTAGTGTTCTGCTTTACGGTTGCGAGACCTGAACTCCGAGCGGAGGATGCTAATCGACTTTCTGTATTTGACCACCGATGTCTCCGAAGCATTGCTCGTGTCTGGCGGGAACATCGGGTGTCCGTCGTGTGTTGGGTGCGGATAGCCGTTCTCTAACAGAAGTAATCGCTCTACACCGCTTCAGATGGTTAGGTCATGTTTTGCGTATACCCGCCCATCGACTACCTTTCCGTGCTCTCTTCGCACGTGCCGGGAACGGCTGGAAGAAGCTTCG